GAGCCACAAGTCACTTTTTTTCCTTTTTTTTTGCAGTTTTTGGCTGGGGCTGGGTTTGAACCTGCCACATCCAACATATGGGGCCAGCGCCCTACTCCTATGAGCCACAGGCGCTGCCCCAAGAAGTCTACTCTTAAAGGATACAAATAGTTCCTACCCTTGAGATTATAGCATCAGAAACTGACATTTGTTTTGCAGATTATATAGGATATCTGTATTTCATGATAAACCAACACACAAATCTTAGCTAGGCCCACTGAGTTTGTGATGAAGGTTATACAAACTATTGCTTACTTCACAGTGGGATTTGGCTTTTTATTCCTTAGTTCCTTTACAAATTAGCAGATTTTGCAGATCCTCTAATATTTGTACCCCCCCCTTTTCTTTGAGTCTCACTATGTCACTGTCAGTAGAGTGCCATGGCATCACAGCTTACAGCAACCTCCAGCTCTTGGGCTTAAGTTATTCTCTTGTCTCAGCCTCCCAAGTAGCTGGGACTACAGGTGCCCACCACAAACGCCTGGCTATTTTTTTTGTTGCAGTTGTCTTGTTTAGCTGGCCTGGCTGGACTGGGCTGGATTCAAACCTGACAGCCTGGGTGTATGTAGCTGGTGCCGTGCACTGTGTTACAGGCACCAAGCCCCTCCAATATGTTTAAACACCAAGCTTAAGGATCCAAGAGTAAACCCTTTGTGAAATTAGGCTGGCAAATATGGTGTTTATATTCTGCTATTTTGTTTATTTATTTTTGAGACAGAGTCTCATTATGACACCCTTGGTACAGTGCCATGGCGTCACAGCTCACAGCAACCTCAAACTCTTGGGTTTAAGTGATTCTCTTGCCTCAGCCTCCCAAATAGCTGGGACTACAGGTGCCCAAAATGCCCAGATATTTTTTTTGTTGCAGTTGTCATTGTTGCTTTAGCTGGCTTGGGCCAAGTTCAAACCTGCCAGCCTTGGTACATGTGGCTGGCACCCTACCAAATGGACTACAGGTACCACTTTGTTTTTTTATTTTTATTTTTTTTTAGACAGAGCCTCAAGCTGTCCCCCGGGGTAGAGTGCCATAGCATCACAGCCCACAGTAACCTCCAACTTCTGGACTTAAGCGAGTCTCCTGCCTCAGCCTCCCAAGTAGCTGGGACCACAGGCGCCTGCTACAATGCCCGGCTATTTTTTGGTTGCAGCCGTCATTGTTGTTTGGTGGGCCGGGCTGGATTCGAACCCGCCACCTTAGGTGTATGTGGCTGGCACCTTAGCCACTTGAGTCATAGGCGCTGAGCCTTGTCTTTTTATTTTTGAGATAGAATCTCACTGTGTCACCCAAGCTAGAGTGCAGCAGCATCACTGGAGCTTACAGCAACCTCAAACTCCTGGGATCAAGCAATCCTACTGCCTTAGCCTCCCAGGTAGCTAAGACTACAGGCACCTGCCACCAGGCCCAGCTAACCTTTTTTTTTTTTTTTTTTTTTTGAGACAGAGTCTCACTTTGTTGCCCTCAGTAGAGTGCCCTGGCATCATAGCTCACAGCAACCTCAACTCTTGGGCTCAAGACATTCTCTTGCCTTAGCCTCTCGAGTAATTGGGACTACAGGTGCCTGCCACAACACCTGGCTACTTTTAGAGATGAGGTCTCAGTCTAACTCAGGCTGGTTTAGAACTTGTGAGCTTATGTAATCCATCCACCACAACCTCCCAAAGTGCTGAGATTACAGGCTTGAGCCACTGTGCCCGGTCTTAATTTTTCCATTTTTAGTAGAGACAAGGATTTGCTCTTTTGCTCAAACTGGCCTCAAACTCCTGAGCTCAAGCAATCCTCCCACCTCAGCTTCCCTGAGTGCTGGGATTACGGGCATGAGCCACCTTTCCCTGGCTTTTTTTTTTTTTTTTAATTGCAGAGCCATCAGAAATAGTAACATTTATATCAAGTCTTTTACTTACCAGTGGAAGGCTTTTCCCAGGAATGTTGGGGAAGTCATGATGTTCATTATGATAACCGACATTGAAGGTCAATAGATTCAGAGGCCCATAATATGAGTAAGTTTCATGTCCCTTTAAGAACATGTAATGTTCTGCTATAAAATGTCCAGAAATTGGGTGCAGACCCAGACCAAGTAAGGATGCTGCCAACATGTAGACTAAAGATTTAATTCCGCAAAAGTAGTAAATCATAATGTCAAAAGTAATCTGAACCACTGTATTGATAATTTCCAGATGAGTAATTGGTTTGGGGTTGATGAACAGAGGTCGAAAAGCATAAAAGAGAGGCTGAAAAATAATCCACACAAATTTTCTGAAAGTGGTACAGAAGAACCAGCCCTCAAAATCAGTAGGAATGTCTACATCAATGCCATCAGCTCCGAGGTATCGATGATGATCTATGTGATACCTCTTAAAGGAAATTGAATATGGAATCCCAATAGGAAGGTTAGCCAATATTCCAAACCAGCGATTCCACAAGGCTTTGTTGTGGCCAAAGGCGTTATTGTGAGAAATCTCATGAATACCCAGAGTCATTGAGTGGTTAACACAACTGCCAAAGGCATATGCCCAAAATATGACCCATTTCCAGTCCAAGTCTTTTACTAAGTAAAAAGTAACCAACTGGGTGAGAATCATCATACTTATAATCCATATCAAGTTGGGATCAGGTTTCATCAAGGATTTTATCTCAGGATACTTGGCTGCAAAGAAAAAATAAAAAAAATCAGAACTCAGAAAAGTACACAAGTTTAGAAATGATAATTAAATTAATACCAGTTGGCGCAGTGGGTAGGGTGCCAGCTACATACACTGAGGCTGGCAGGTTCAAGCCTGGCCTGGGCCTGCTAAACAACAGTGACAACTACAACAAAAAGTAGCTGGGTGTTGTGGCGGGCGCATGTAGTCCCAGCTGCCTGGGAGGCTAAGGCAAGAGAATCACTTAAGCCTAAGAGTTGGAGGTTGCTGTGAGCTGTGACCCCACAGCATTCCACCAAAGGTGACATAATAAGATTCTGTCTCAAAAAAAAAAAAACAAAAACAAACCAGTTAACTTAGCATATTAGTTAACGTTTTTCTTCTCCAAATCATAATATTCCCTCCATTATAGACTTTACCAAATACTTAATCTATGACAGGAAAGGAGAATATGCTAGTAATAAAGTTATAAAATACCATGTCATAACAATTTCAGAATTTATGCAGTAGAAATTAGCCCCCAAAATCTAGAAGCTTCCTGTTCTCTACTCCCCCCAAAACAAACAAACCAAATCTAGAAGCTCTACATTCTTTTCTGTTAAAATGTGTTATTTCGGCTCGGCGCCTATAGCTCAACTGGCTAAGGCGCCAGCCACGTACACCTAAGGTGGCAGGTTCGAATCCCCAGCCCGGACCC